GAGGAATAAGTGAGTGATTGAATTAGTCAAGGAGTGACTGAGTTAGTGAGTTAGTGGAAGAGTCAATGGAATAATGATTGCGTGATTGAATGATTTGGTGAATGAAGGATTGAGTGATTGAGTTAAGGAGTATTTTATTGATAGTGTAGTGAGGGAGTGAATGAATGGAGGTGTGAGTGAGAGCTTGAGTGAGTTAATGTGGAACTGAATAGAGAAATAAATGAGTAATTTAATTAGTCAAAGTGTGACTGAGTTTGTGAGTTAGTGGAGGAGTAAATGGAGAAATGCTATAAATAATGCGGGATTACGTCTTTAAACAAGCTTCTCCATGACTTATAGACTGTCAAATGGAGAACTTATTTTTAAAGCACAAGCTACATTAATAATCACATTTTAAATCAGCCCTTTTCGGGAACTCTTGTCTGCCCCACTCAACGCCATGAAGCATGCAGTGAATTCGTTTCATAATTTCACCTCCTTTTAATACCATCCGCTTTGATATGGGAAAATTTGTGTTAGTTACTTTTGAAATATCACTTTTGCTAACCTCATTAGTTTATTCCGTATTGGGCCTTTGCCTCAGACAAACATGGTCTCTCAGGATATGCGCTTTCCAGCAACTTTTTCACTTTTGTGCATCGTCTGTCTCTTCAGGTTCCAGTTCTACTTCTGGCCTCGCTTTGGGCCTCGCCCCAAGCACATCCTCGTTGGTCTCCAGCAGCTCTATGCTCGATGTAGCATTGACCCCCATGGTATCCCGGCCACAAAATCGTCCACAGGCCGCGACTATGCCTGACTTGCCGCCAACCACAGCATTCTGCTCTTCATGTCTCCCTGTTGATACAAATGGCGCAAGAGGAGCTGATACATCATGCTTCATCCGTTGGCCGGCTGAGTATCCGCAAAGGCCCTCGGGACGTCGAGCTCCACCAGTCGTCGCAATGGTGGCCCCCAATCAACGCGAGAAACCAGTAGGCCACTCTCTCCGTCTTTGTTTTATCTCGGGCAACTGCCACCTACTGAAGTTGACTGTTGCATCTTTCACTTACTTCAATTATAAATTTCAATAAAAAAATATAATTTTCTTTGATTTACCTCGTTTATAGAGAGACCTAGACTTAGAGACTCGACTTGAAGATGAAAGTCGAATTCTGAAAAAAATTATTTTTATCTCATTCATTTATTTATGCGTTTATTTTTTCATGTTGGCTCTCCTTATGCGGCACGTTAACCAGCGGGGCCATGCCAATCCATTAAACACACATTTACCGGTACGATGGCGAAAAGATATTCTCCTCAAGGAACTGGTGAAAGAGCCTTATGAATTTGTCATTTGCAGTTTCAAATTATGAATGCCAGAGCGTTCAGTTTAGCTAAGATAAAAATTAAAGTTTAAAAATTACTGTTTTCATTTTAGACCCAGATAGTTTAATACTGTGAATTAAATATAAAACTTGCATTCACCCCCTAATCTTATTTTTCTGAGTTCCCTTAAGGCGTTTAGATTGCTTTTTGAATAGTGGTGGCCGATACGAAGCACAGTGATCCTGCTCTCTATTTCTACCCCACTACGACGTCGCGCTATATTCAACTTCATTTTTTAGCTTCCTTGCTTTTGTAATCGTAATTTTTCCTAAATTCGTCCACATTGGTTGTCAAATGCAAAATAGTATATGCCAGCTTTGAAGCCAATGCAATCCATTTGGCATCCATTTTATCTCAAATGTGGCATTTTTCAAAAATGATACAAAGCAACTTAAGTCACTTGCATTGTTAGTCGGCATTCAATCCATTCTAGACTACCGGTTTGTCCTCTACTCGTCGACACTTTTTCATTGCCTCATCAGCAGTCCAACATGTTTCGTCAAACGGCAGCCAATTGTTTCACTTAAATTGTACTCAAATTGTATTTTTCGAATTAAGTATTGTTTTTCGTGACTACCAGTAAATCAGTAGTATGAGATGTATTCACCCAATTTCGTTTAAGCTGATGAAGGACCTTTAGAATTTTCCCACAAATGATATGAGTGGGATGAGAACAACTTTTGGGAAAGCAAAGCTATGTAATAATTCAATGGAAACGTCAGCTCAACTCATATCATTTGTGGGAAAATTCTACTTCTACCAGTCCTTCATCGCCTTAAACAAAATTGTGTGAATATATATCTTATTACTTAAATTGGTATATCTATAGTTGGACTTATGTCGGCAAGGCAAACTCGTATTTGCCATTACAACCAACGACGCTACTGTTTATCGAATGAGTAGGCTATAAAACTATATGTATGTGTTGGAGGGATACTCGAAGCATTCTTTAGAATGATAGTTAATTTTCCCGCAGTAAAATGCATAGAACGCCTTTTTATTGTCAGAAATTTTCCCCAAGCGATGTTATCTTATTATTCAAGATTAAGACAATCGGTATTTTGCTGTTTTCCTAAACAGACTCTTCATTTTGTTCCAAAATCAACTTTCTATTATGCCAATATCTCCGTCTAGAAAATTGTAACTTTCGATGATAGGATAGTTATTTTTCGATAAATGCGAGCACAATCGCATTTATTTTAACTCATTCCTTTAGTGTCTTTTCAAAGATAAATAAATCCAGGCTTCTGGCGTCTATTTTGCCTGACCATCAGTCTATGTTGAGGCCAATTTTTCTCATGTGATCAGTGAATGCGAGACGGGTCTTATTTTTTTCTCTGCAAAAATCACGAGGCGCCCATAACCATCGCTGGCATATCTATCCTTTCTATACTTATCTGTCTTATTGATTTCGGTACCTTTCTACCGTATTTCCTGTTCACGTCTGCTCTAGGTCCGTCCAGAGTCTTATCTGTACGACGCAAACACCGCCGACAGCGGTGCACTCGACTTCTCGTCTCCAACTCTGTCCTCCACTTCCGCGGCACCGTTTGGCGTCTCCGTCGCGCCCAGGCCCCAGAGCCTGCTCTATCCCGCCGGAGTCGGGCATCATTTCCGCGACGAGTCTCCGCCCAGCCTCCTGGGCTCGTTGATAGCACAGGCGCCTCCAGCCGCGACGCTCCCACTGCCGCTCACACTCCCGGCCACCATACAGCCGTCTCCCGAACTGTCCTCACATTTCATCGCCGCCCCCTTGACTCTGTCGGCGACAACTTCGTCAGGGCCTACGGGTGTGTGCGCGATGGCAAAGTGCTCGAGTCTTGAGCATCCCGTGGCCACTCGTCTGCCCACCAAAGCCGATTGTCAACCGTTCGACGGTTTACATTGTTCCTCTGGCGTAAGCATGTGGTCTGAACTGATGTCTGAATTGGGCACGATGACGAAGTGGAAATATTTTTTCCAATTGAATATTGTTTTTTGTGACTACCAGTAAATCAGTAGTATGAGATGTATTCACCCAATTTCGTTTAAGCTTCTGAAGGACTTGAGG